TTCCTGCTGGCCATGGAGGAGCCTTAATTGATGCTCTTGAAGGTCTCTGGGTGCCTGTTTATGATCACAGCCCTGGGTTGCTGTCACAAGGCTGCTCTGGGCTGCCTGCCCCACGTGCTGGATGGGAAAGCTGCAGGCATGGTGGTACAGAACCCACCTGGTGCCACCAAGGTGTGTCAGGCCCAAGGAAGGCATGACTCCTGTTTAGCTAGGAGAAGAACATTGCATGCAAGCCAGGCAGGTGATCTGGGGATAAATTATGGCACTGCTGGGCAAACACAGGAATGGAACTGGCAGCAAATGATGTGTGTGCACTGGGGGCCTTGGGGTTGAGAAGAGGCAAGTATGAAGCCTGCAGGAACTCTGTCCTAGGAGGGAAGGGCAGTGTCAAAGCCAGGGTTACAAGCTGAGCTCCACTGTCCAGGTCCCTCCTCTCCTGCTGCATTGATGTGTCTGTCTGAGCAGGTCCTTTTCACAAAGTTTCTGCCATGGGTTGAATGAATAAAGTCTTCCCTGCTTGAAAACAGCCTTGATGGAGGTTACACTGTTGACCAAGGGTTGCCCAGGTCTTGTGGTCAGGAGGCTGTAGGAAATCTCTGACTAGAGACAGACACACGTGGGATTCTTCTTCCCTTCTCTCTTCCTTTGTCAATTTGTTGTGGGCATGAGGAGAAATGATGGACACTTGCTGAAGTGCAAATGGGAACAGTGGGGGATTCTCCTGGGCTCTGCCAAAGCCCATTCACAAAATGAAGGAATTCAAAGGTGTTTGTTGGAAGGACAAAACAAGGAGTTAGATGACAGATCAGGCTTAGCTTGTGTTTGTCTAGGGCTCCAGTTCCTAACTGAGAACACAAAGTCAAGGGCCAGTGGTGAGTGTTGTGGCTTCACACAGCAGCAAAGTCAATAACCCAGACAGGGGTGGTGAGGAAATAGATCAAGTAACGGGTTGTCAGGAAAGGTCTCCTATTCCAGGAAGCTGCTGGGAAGGTGTTTGAGTCATCACAGCCTCCTCAGTCAGTCTTGCACCCAGCAGGTGAGGAAGCAGGTTGTCACCAGAAGGAGCTCAGACAAGCTGGTTGGCTCTGGCCCAGCCTTCAACACACAAGCTCTAGTTCCCAATTAGGTTTGAAATCCATCAGCTCTCTGCAGATATCCATCAGATACTTCCTTGAAAGAAAAAGGTGTGAGGTGGCTGCAGGAGGGAGAAATTGCCACACTGCTTCCTTCATCTCCAGCTGCTGTGTACTGCAGGTTTGCATTTCCCTCCTAGAGAAACCCTAAGAGGATTTCCCATGGATTGATCACAGGAGCTCACAACAAGTACCATCCAGACCCTCCTTGTGGCTGGTTG